TCCCCAAACATTTTGATGCAACTTCAACAGTCCAGAGGGCAGGAGCTTCCCTAGGAGTATATGAGGATGGGAGCTGGCCACACGTCTCGTCACCAGGGTAACGTAGGGTTGTTATTATTGTTGTACAGGGTTTCTGAGGAGTTGTTGGTGGATGTGAATGGCCCACCTTGTAGTTTATACCAGCCTTGTGGTTCTGCAGTGCAATACCAGGACTACAAGAAAGAAGAAAATAATTGTCCCTTTCTCTCTTGCCTTCAAGTCACCTGTTAAAGTTCAAGATGAAAACAATACAGCTGGCCTGGCAGCACAGATCAGCTTGCTGTTGTTAAGTGCTGTCAAGTTGATGTCAACTCATAGTAACGTGTCCAGGGTTTCCAAAGAGCGGGTGATGAATTTGAATCACTGTCCTTGCAGTTCAAACCAACCTTGAGGTCCAGTGCATTATCTTGCAGCATCACACCAGGACAGATCACCAGTTTCTTTTTTTCTTGTTCCTTTTTTCCCCTCTCCCACATGTCTGTCTGTTCAACTGCTTCACCTAGTGAGATCTCGCCCAGGGCTGGCCAACTCTGCAGATCTGAAGCAGGGCCCAGCAGAACAGGGTCAATGTGGATAGTTTCTCCCTCCTTTAATGGGTCCCACAACCATGGGGATCACCTCTCTGCAGCTCTGAGCACTGGGAAAGTTGGAGTTTCCCTGGGGGTGTACATGGGTGTCAGCTGGCCTCACCTCTGGTCACCAAGGGAGTGTGGGGAACAAGAATAAAAATGCACCTTTGTCTCTGCAAACTACAAGTATATTCTGCAATGCTGATAATTTTTCTTGTCTCTGAAGCTGCTCACAAAAGCTCAAGATGGCATTTTCCTTAGTGTGTTTCTCAAAGCAAGATGGTTCACCAGAAACTCTACTGGAGTCACCCATGAAAATTCAACCAGGGTTCCCGCTCTTGTTGCGTGTGTTCAAACCAGCACAGTCTGATCTGGAAATACGGCCTTCCCATGTCCCACCTTCTCAGTACCAGAAGGATACAGGCTTCATCAAGTTGGACTAAGTAATCATCTTTGAATGGATTATCCCAAACACATCTACCCAACAAAAACAATGCCAACACTTTGCACATAAAATAAAGATTTCAATTATGGCTGTTTTAATATGAATGAATAATTAATTGGCTATGAAGAATTTAAATATGTATACAATCATTTTCCTCCAAAAAAAGCAAAACAAAACTCAAGATAACGGTACCTGTCTGGTTGCTGGCTCATATCACCTGTCTCTCCTTATGTTGCTTTGTCTGCTCAGCACTCTCTCCTAGTAAGAATTCAACCCACTTCTCTTCATCTGAAGTTCAGAGTTGCAGGACTACCATCTGAATCTGTTTCATTTGATTATCCGTATCTTTTTTATAGAGAGTCTGTACAGCTTTCCTGCCTAGTCCACCATCTTGCTGCCTCAATCCACTTTCTTGCTTCTTATACAATAAATGGTCTTTCAGGTCTCCCAGTTTTTGGTCATCCTTAATGTACAGGACCCAGAGTGATCTCTAGGAAAAAGAAGAACAATACTGACCCGTGATAGGCTCTGTGCTAGGTGCCTGGATACATAAATGAAAATGCGGTTCTTGCTTTGAAGGACCTCAAAGTTTACTGTGAGAGATGAACTGATAAATAAATCATAGTAAGTTATGTTCTAGCTCAAACAGTAGAGGAATATATGAAGTGCCATGGAATCACAGACGAAAGTATTCTTTCTTAGGGGAAGAAGGAAGGATGATGATTAAGGAAGACTTCATAGAGGATGTGAGTTTCAAAATGGGCTTTAAAGGACAAGTAGGAGTTTACTAGGTAGATTTGTGTAGAAAGAATATTGTAGACAATTGCTGTTAGGTGCCATTGAGTTGGTACTGACTGAAGGCGACCTTATGCACAGCAAAACAAAAAACTGCCCGATCCTGGTAGACAGTAGGGACAACAAATGCAGGGAGGCATGTAGTCAGGACAAGTTTAGGCACTGATGAAGAAGTAGTTTAGTGTTGCTAAAGTACAATGGGGATGAAGCAGCAGGTGGGATTCAGAAGGCCTTGGACACTAACTTAGGTTTTTTCCTATCAGTGATGGGCCCACAGATTTTTGAGCTCCTTTTCAGTTACTGGACTAGATGGGTACTATCTCTTCAGGACCAAATCTTTTGTTTAAAAGCACCCATTCTCACTGGTTTGTGTATATATATAGTAATTATGGATACTAATTCAATGTAATTTGTAATTTCCTATATCAATATACAAAGTGCATCAGCGCCTTCTCAGACAGCTGAAGCAGTACGCTGCGTGCTGCCGCACTGCCTGGTGAGAAGGCCACCCTCCACCGCTTGCACTTTTAGATGCAAGTCAGTGTTTTATTTCTCTACTAGAAAATGATTCGCATATTTTTACATCATTTGTTTTTTCCTGATGAGTATTTTCAAACCAAAAGGATATCCTGAAATATGGCCAACGATTTTTTTATAAATAGCATTCCAAGCAGTGTGCCTAAACATTACATTGCATACAGAAATAAAAACAAAACAAAAAAGAATTTTTTAAAAAAGGACCCATTCTCACAGGCCCTCTGTCTCTAGAACTGGTCCGTTTCTCTTCTACTGGGTCTGTTTGTTTGGGCGCTTTCCCCCAGGTCCTGCAATCCCCTAGGCTCTACAACAGCTCATAATACTTGTCTTGGTTTCAAGGCTCTGAAAACCATCTGGAGTTGACCCTGAGTGATCTTTCTCAGAAGAGGTTTGATGCTCTCCTTCTGACCCCGTACACTGATGTTTGGGTTGTTTTGTTTTGTTTTCCTGGCTTAGTTCTTAAGTGAATGGGTATCATACTCACCAGCGAGACTAATCTTCCTGTTCTGCCAGAGGTCACCTAACTAGATAGGTACAGGGCTGAGACACAGCCAGATTTTGACTCCCAATCCAATGTGCTCCAGCTTCTGGACCTCCTTAGCCAGTTGTGGAGCAGACAGAATGCGTCAGACTGCAAAGTTGTTTGAACTGCAGGGTCCCTTTGAGTGGGAATCAGCTCGATGGCACTTCACAACAAACCTCTAACCCACAGGATCACCACTGATGGCTGGAGCTAAAAAAATATATAATAAAATTATGCTGTGCCTCAAGTCTTTTGATATTTCTTTCTTATTCTGTAAATGGGAGCAGTACCAACTTGGTTCTTCAGCTACAGTAGGTATCAAGGATTGGGACATGGTGGGTTTTCAGTTGCTGTGTCATGGTTTGTTATATGATGTATGAGGGATGATGGATCTCTGTTCAAGTAGTAGGCTCTTAGAGTCATAAAGTTGGAAGGGAATAGAGGAGGTGTCCTGGGGTTTCAAATAGGAGGCCTCATG